CCGCCAGCATGCAAGTGCTGAATCAGCTCCAGGCAGCGAGCTCTTTCCTATATGGAAAGAGCCTGCCTGCCTTCGCAGCCTGGCTGGCCTGGGCCACGGCCCAGAAGCTTCCGGTAGGCCCCAGAATGCTGCGCCTCTGTTGCAGCTACTGGGCCTCATTCGGTTGGGCCTCCCAACTGTCTGTGTATGAGGCTGCAATTCTCGCCCAGGGCCTGTATTTTTGGAAAGGCCTGGAAGGCCATGGAATGTCTTGCTGCTCGGCCTGTGTTTCCCTCAACCAATTGGCGCGTCGAAACTGCCTGGACCCCAACTACGAAATTGACAGCTGAGGGACTCTCGTGATTTGTTAGGCCCGCCTTCACTTAGGGCGGGCACATCTGCAGCAGGAGCCCCTTAGGCCTGCTGAGGACCCAGATCCTCGCACAGGGGCCATGCTAATCTTTTCTCTATCGTTTGGATTTTAACAGATGTCCCAAAGGACTATCATCCACAGGGTTTTTTTTTTTTTTTTTTTTTTTTTTTTAATGTGGCCCGGTGGTCCCTACGGATCAGATATTGAACTGATCAGAACAGATGTTGCACTTTATCTAATCTTAGCCAAAAGGCCGACATAGGTATTCATCATCCACAGTTCTTTTTTTTTTTTTTTGCTATTTTGTTTTCTTTCTGGTGTTTGTACTTTTCCTGTCTGTTGGTTGTTGTCGTTTCCCTACCTTGTGCGCTCGTGCGTTGTCTACCCTCTTGTCTCCCCTACGCCCTCCAGCCTATGTTTCCTCACTAATTTTGCCTGGCCGCAATTTGCCTGGCTGTTTCACTTGTTGTGCAAAAATCTGCTGTTTGTTGTCTTTTCCCAGTCTTGTACACTTGTGTGTTGTTGACTGCCCTCCCGCCTCTCCTGTGCCCTCCAGCTTACGTGTTGCCTCACTGCTTTTGCATTGCCTCTTTTTCCCTGGCTTTGCGTTTGCGTTTGCTGCCTAGTTTTGCGTACTGCTTGCCTGGTCATTTTGCTTGTCATAGACCAGTAGGGTAGAATTGGAGCATGAGCACAGATGCACACGCCACTGCATAGCGTTTTTTTTTTTTTTTTTTTCGGAAACTACCCGTACAGGAAATGCTGTGTATTGGATTGGGACAAATGCATGCCGTTCTTGTCAAGGGTTTGGAATGACAGCCCGACAGGATTGCAGGGTTGGTGTAAGTAGAGCAGCATTGCTCACTCTGGGCGGGGGCGTGCTGAGTTCTTACCTATCACTAAAATGCATCCTCAGCAGAGCATCAAGGTTCAACCTTGGTGAGTTGGTGAAAGTCCGACGAAACCATTTGGCACAGTCATGCTTTTTTTGTTTTTCTGTGGAGTTGTGTATGGC